ATCTCAATCAAAGTGCCAGAGACATTCTTCACAGATCTAGAAAAGACAGTCATATAGTTTGTAATCATAAAAGACTTCATATTGCTAAAGCAATTCTTCACAAGAAGAGTGTAATGGGTGGCATCTCACTCCCGAACCTGAAAATATACTACAAAGCTGTAGTAATCAAAACAGCATGGTACTGGCACAAAAAACAGATAGGTGGGGGGAACCAGCAATTAGCGTAATGGCTATGTCACTGGACTCCCACGTAGTTGACCGCGGTTCACGTCCTGGACCTGGTGGCTTAAAACTCACGCCGGGCGCATGTGCGTGCATGCCCAAGATCCTGAGAGGAGAATTGTGGAGAAGGGATTGTGGCATGGCCATCCCCCCTGGGGGGTGATTTCTCGCTTTCTGTCTCTCTGTGTGTGGTCGGGGGGGGGCCCGCGCCCTTTAGAAAAAAAAAAAAAAAAAAAAAAAAACTCTCAAAAAACAGATAGATGGGCCAATGGAACAGAATAGAGTCCCTATATATACACTCCCGAACATACAACCAACTGATTTTTGACAAAGGGTCACTGTCAATCAAGTAGGAAAAGGAAAACCTCTTTAGCAAATAGTGCTGGAAAAATTGGATATTCCCCTCCAGAAATATGAATTTGAACCCCTACTTCTCACCATTGACAAAAATCAACTCAAAGTGTATCAAAGATCTGAAGCTAAGACCTCAAACTATAAAACTACTGCTGGAAGACAGGGGAAACTGGGAGACATTGGGGTAGGCAAAGACTTCTTAAATATGACTCCCAAACCATAGTCAATAATCCCAAAAATAGACAAGTGGGATTACATCAGATTAGGAAGTTTCTCATGGCAAAAGACACAGTGATCAATGTGAATTGACAGCCTTCAGAATGGGAAAATATTTTTGTAAACTGTTCATCAGATAAGGGACGTGTAACCAGAATACATAGGGAACTCAAGCAGCTGTCCCAAGAAAAAGATGAACAACCCTATTAAAAGATGGAAGAGTACATTGAAAAAACCACTCTCTAAGGAAGGCAAAGGAATAGCCAAAAGGCATATGAAAAAAAAAAAACTCAACATCTCTCATTGTAAGGGAGATGCAGATCAAAACCACAATGAGTAACTAAACCCAGGCAGAAAGAATAAGATTAAAAAAAAAAAAAAAAAAAAATTACAAGTGCTGGCAGGGGTATGGTGAAAGGGGAACTCCTCTACACTGCTGGTGGGAATGTAAATTGATCCAGCCACAGCGGAGAACAATATGGAGATTCCTCAAAGATCTACAAATAGAACTACCATATGATCCAGCAATACCACCCCTTGGTATCTACCAAAAGGACAGAAGAATCCTTAGTTGGAAAAATCCTTGCACATCGATGTTTATTGCAGCACTATTCATAATCGCTAAGACATGGAACCAACCCAAATGCCTATGAATAAATGAATTGATGGAAAAAGTGTGACCCATATGCCCTATGGAATACTACTCAGCCATAAAACAAAACAAAAAGACAAAACCTGGCTTTTGATAGAAAGTGGATGAATATGGAAGATTTATTGCTGAGTGAAGCAAGTCAGGCTATGAAGGAGAGACAGTGTATTTCTCCACTTAATATATACTGAGTGTCCGCACTCTATAGCTAAAACTGAATGATAGAGGATATAGAAACATAGTAAATGGTTATAAATTCCAGATACAGTGTAGGAAGAAGGCCAGTGAAGGAGTAGAGTCTGAGGGAGGACATTAAGGAGAAAAGTAGAGAGGCAAGGCATTTATGGGACAAAGAAAGGGGTTATTATCTGTTGAAAATAATGTGTATAGTATTCTCAGCTGGACTGGTGAGAAATGTAGACATGTTGGAATATTCACTTTGCAAGCTAAGTAAGGTGATTGGATATATAAAAGAAATTGAAATAAAAAATTTAAAAAATTTTAAAAACTTGCTCATCAATGTCTATAGCAGCTACATACATAACTGCCAATATTTAGAAGCAACCAAGATGTCCTTCATTAGGTGGATAATTAAATGGATGGATAATGAATAAACTGTGGCACATCCAAAAAAATGGCATATTATTCAGCGCTAAAAGAGATGATCTATCATATTACTAAATGAAAGAAGCCATCCCCAAAAGACTACTTTATTATGCCAAGTATACAACATTCTGTAAAAAGCAAGACTATAGAGATGGTAAAATCGGTGGTGCCTTTTGACTGGAACTGCCATCTTCCAGTAATTAACCAAAATGATGAACACAAGAAGAAAGAGGAGAGATACCTGATAATGTGTTCTCTAGCCTTTTAGAAAACATGGAGTGGTTCCTTTGGCAATATATATGCGAAAATAGAAAAAAGGTGATATCATAGACATCAAGGGAATAGATACTATTCAAAAAGGAATGCCCCACAAATGTTACTATGAGAAAACTGGAAGAGTCTACCATGTTACCCAGCATGCTGTTGGCATTGTTGTAAACAAACAAGGGCAAGATTCTTACCAAGAGAATGAATGTGTGTATTAAGCATATCAATCATTCTAAGAGTAGAGATAGCTTCCTAAAACATGTGAAGGAAAATGATTAGAAAAAGAAGGAAACCAAAGACAAAGGTACCTGGGTTCAACTAAAACACCAGCCTCCTCCACCCAGAGAAGCATACATTGTGAGAACCAATGGAAAGGAGCCTGAGCTACTGGAATCTATTCCCTATGAATTCATGGCATGATGGGTGTTAATGACTCTATGGTCTATTAAAAATAAGTAAGTAAGTAAGTAAGTAAATAAATAAATAAATAAATAAATAAATTGGGACCAGCAGTTTGCGTAATGGCTAGGTTGCTGGACTCCCATGTAGTTGACTGTGGTTCGAATCCCGGACCTGGTGGCTTAAAACTCACGCCAGGCACGTGTGCGTGCATGCCCAAGATCCCGAGAGGAGAATGGAGAAGACAGGATTGCAGCGTGGCCATCCCCCCGGGGGAGGGTTTCTGGCTTTCTGTTTCTCTCTCTGTCTGGCAAGCACATGCACCCTATAGCAATAAATAAATAAATAAATAGTGGAAACCATCGGTTTGCTTATGTAGGAGAATAACTTAAAATACTGTTTATTCTGCATCTCTATTTTACATTCTGAAAAAATATGCTACTGTAGCATTTAATTAAAATATGCAGAGGCCAGCAGCGGTGTGGTGGTTAAGGTGGCTCAATCCCACATGGCTAACTGAGAGGCTTAATTCCTGGGCCTGGTAACTTAAAAAACACACTGGGAGTGAGGGGGTTTACCAAGTGGTGTGATGGTTAAGGGCTCTGGGCTCCTACATGGCCTACTGAAATTTGAGTCTTGGACCTGGTGGCTTGCTTTCTCTTTCTCTTTCTCTCACTCTGACCCTCTCTGGTCAAACTTAAATAAATAAATAACACACTGGGGGACCAGCAGATGGTATAATGGTTAGGTTGCTGGACTCCTACATAATCAACTGTGGCTCAAGTCCCAGACCTGGTGGCTTAAAACTCACACCGGGCGTGTGTGCATACATGCCCAAGATTCCAAGAGGAGAATGGAAGAGACGGGATTGCAGCATGGCCATCCCCCATAGGGGATGATTTCTTGCTTTCTCTCTCTCTGTCTCTCCAGCAAGCATACGCACCCTATAGCAAAAATCTCTCTCTTAGGAAAAAAAAAATCCACACTGGGTGCGTGTGTGTGTGTGTGTGTGCACCCAAAAGCCTGAGTGAAAAGATGGCCATCTCCCTGGGGGGTATGCTTTCTCCTCTCTCCTCCTTTCTGGCGAGCCCATACACCCTGTAGCAAATTAAAAATAAATATGACATTTGGGATTCATGACATTTAAAATATTGTTTTTCCAGTTAGCATATTTATTCTATTGCACTAGATATTAGTCAGCAATTCTTAAACTCTCATATGGATGATACAAGATACTAAGAAAATGTTTGCTTCTCGGAATTGTTTTATGTTCTTACTATGAATGCGTAACTTTTCATTCAGTATGTTATCTCCTGTTGCTCATGTAACTATCTTCTTTTCCCTACCACATACCTACAATTCTTCCATGTGCAACAACTCCATCTTACTGCAGCAGTACCAAATCACCCACTTCCACGTTTTATATAACCATTTATTACCAATAAAAAAATTGGTACATTCACAAAAATGTCATTTATTTTGTAAAATTAATAGGTTTGATGTGTTTCTTTCTTTAAAAACATAGAAAATTTATACATATTTGTTATGTAAATATAATACCTTATGGCAAGAAAGAACACAGTTATTCTGTGTTAAAGTAATGAAATAATCTTTTTCTCTCCCCTCTTATCCCTTTCCTTTCATTTACTATATCCCAGCTCCCCATATTTTAGAGGGAGGAAAATAGGGTACATATTTTTCCTCTGTAATGCTAGCATTTACCTAGTTAGATATTTTTGAGAGTGTTGCTTTATTCCATCAGAAATTTCAGGAATTTAAGAAAGGAACTAAAATAGTAAACTATAAAGTAACTCCACAAATGAAAAGGTGATGCCATAACTGGAAAGTATACATGTGTGAATATTTTTCACATTTTTAGTGTTTTTATCTTTTAACTGTTATCTGTATGTTTAATCAGATAACCGAGAATATATACATGATTGGCTACCTTTTGAAATTATAAGTTCAAAATAGCTTCGTCATTTCATATAGCCTTGTAGAGTAGATTTTTAAACTTTATTTTTTAATTTGCTATTGCATTTAATTGTTGCATATCTTTGTGGGGCACGATGTAGATCTTCACAGCATGCGTGCAGTGTGTGACAGTCAAATCTAGGATAATGCCATATTCATTGTTCTCAGCAAACACCCTGTTTGATGTGTGTGTGTGTGTGTGTGTGTGTGTGTGTGTACATTTTGTTAATGCCACCATAAAGGTATGGTAAGGCATTTCAAGAAGGAATGAACCAGACTAAACCGTTACCTTGTTCTTTTTGTCTCTATCTAGATCCCACTGTGCGCCTAGCATTATTTAAAAACAATGAAAACAAAGTTTCTGTTACAAAACCACCAAAGAAAACACAGCCGAGAAGAGATGATTATTTTGAAGGTATAGTTTAATAACAAACACATAGAAAAGTAGAAACATAAACTAAGGATAGAAAATTGTATTTAAAACAAAATTTTTAAATCCTCAATGTGTCATATATGAAAAAATTGGTATAAAATATACTTGAATAAAAGTCAAACTGGCTCTTAGAGCTGAAACACTAATTCAGTATATTGCTACATTAGTATAATGACTTAGTATTTGTATCAATGCTTACATAAATTTTAACCTCTTTGCCTTTTTATATAAGTCTTCTAATGTGTAATTAGTGTTACTAACTTTATTTCAATTTTACAGTAATGAAGACAACACAGATACTATTATCCTGTGTCAGTGGACATGATATGTTGAATGACATTTCAATATATTTACTGCCAATATACACAAATTGCATTAATCCTGATAAATTATACTCTTTAACTTAAATATTGTACAGTATTTTAAGCTTGTTCAACCTACTTTTGGGATGAAGAATTTGAATATCTAGGTAAAAGATTATTTTTTCTCATATCATCATTAGAAGAGTTATGGGTTTATATTATTAAACATAAATACTTCAGTGAAATAGAGCCACGTACTAGAAAGAACTTTGCCATCCAAACTTTTAAATTGTAATTCCCTGGACCAGCAGTTGGCATAATGGCTATGTTGCTGGATTCCCATGTAGTTGACTCTGGTTCGAGTTCTGGACCTGGTGACTTAGACTCTTAGACTCACACTGGGTGGGTTTGCGTGCATGCCCCAGATCCCAAGAGGAGATTGTAGGAGAAGGAATTGCGGCGTGGCCATCCCCCCTGGGGGGTGACTTCTCACTTTCTGTCTCTCTGTCTCTGTCTTTCTGGTGAGCGCACGTGCCCTATAGCAAAAACGTCTCCAAAAAATAAATATATAAATAAAAATAAAATTGTAATTCCCAACAGGAAAATAGAGTCATCTATATTTGAATGGCAGTAATGTGTTGAGAATTTTCAATACTTTGTCTTCTGTGAATTTTAAATAAATCCTAAAATTTAAACATCTTTGTGGCCAGCAAATGGCATGGTGGTTAAGGCACTGGATTCCCACATGGCCAACCATCGTTCAAGTCCTGGACCTGGCAGCTTTGAATTCACACCAGGCACGTGTGCATGCATGCCCAGAATCCCAGGAGATGCATGGAGAAGGAAATATGGCATGGCCATTCCCATGGGGTTGATTTCTCACTTTCCTTCTCTCTGTCTCTCTCTTTCTCCCCGGTCAGCGCATGTACCCTATGGCAAGAATCTAAAAAAAATAAAATTTCATATAAAAAATTGTAAACAGCTCCATATCATGATGCAAATTAGATATATGTTATTTATATTTCTGTTTAGTAATGTCTCGAACTAGAGAAAAATTTGGTAGCCACTGAAATTATACATTTTAGAGATTCCTACCAAAGACTATAGAGATAAAAAAAATACAGAGTCTGGAATTTCTTTAAAGCCCCTAGCCATAAACCCATACATAGATAAAGCAAATATGCCAAATTGTTGAAACTGTTGAATTGATATATGATGGCATCTGGAAATTTATCTTTTTTTGTAACAATTGAAATTTTAATTTAGATTTTTTTCATAGTAAAACATTTAAATTTTTAATGGCCATTAAAGGTGTCAGAACTCAATTTAACCTTGAGAAATATTTATATAGATTAGATTTTAATATAAGTAAATATAATTGTAATTATATTTATCACTATAATATAATAAACATAATTAAAATCTATTTCCAATATAAAATAAGGCTTGAGTTTGTTTTTTTTTGTTTTGTTTTTTGAGAAGTTTTTGCTACAGGGCGCATGTGCTTGCCAGAATGTTAGAGATAGAGAGACAGAAAGTGAGAAATCACCCCTCAAGGGGGATGGTCACTCCACAATCCCTTCTCCTCCAATCTCCTCTCAGGGCCTTGGGCATGCACACACATGCAACCGGTGCGAGTTTAAGACACCGGATCAGGGACTCCCACCGCTGTCGGCAACATGGGAGTCCAGCAACATAGCCATTATGCCAACTGCTGGTCCGAAGGCTTGGGTTTTAATCAGAGTTCTTATTACAGTCTTAAAATCACTGTAGGTACCATAAATACTTAGTCTTCAATTTACACTGTTTTTTAAAAGAAGAGTAAAAATTCTCTGTAACCAATAACAACTCCACAACTGTTACCTGTTAAATAGGATGACTGTTAGTTTAGGAAGGAAATGCCTGTGAAGAAGAGTATTTTTGCCTTTTAATTTAGCATGCATCTCAGCATGGAGAAGGAGAAAGCTATCCTCAGATGGTCCGTTGCATTCCTTCTTGTATGAAAGGTTACCATCCAGAATAGTGTAATATATTTGTATGGCATGTTTTTTTTATTTACTTCTTTCCTATGTAGAGTATGTTTATTTAATTGTATTAACAGAAAATATACTAGTTGTTGTTCAGAATAGCAAGAGACTAAGTCGAACATTTTCACATATGCTTTATGTGATGTTTTGTGTTTTTGCTTTCTTCTCTTGTGTGAAATGTGGTTTTCCTTGGTGTGGATGTAGGGATATTGTATGTGGGGGAAGTTTATTTTATTTTTAGTTTACTTATTTTTTTTAACATGAGTACACTTAGCATTTCACTAAATTTACTAAATATGGTTAATGTATGCACCAGATTTACTAGTGAGTAATATTTAAAGGCTTTTTCTTAAAGGACTAGACTTGGGGAAAAAATGGTTCTATTATAAATGGAAAAATTATTTTTTCAACTAATATGCTTATAGTTGCATTTTTATTAACATGTGGGTTCTAGTTTTTTTTAAAATTTATATGTTAAAATCAATCACTGTGTATCATTGCAGCATACCAAATGAATTTTCCCATCACAAATACACTGCTTATTGGTCCTGTCAAAGACATAATCATATACATTATAATCAACAGATTTCTTTCCATTTTGGGTCCCTTAGATGTTTTGCTTCTTTCTTCTTCCTCTTGATTCCCTCCCTCATTTTTATAAGGAGAAGAGATTGAGGCAAGGTAAATTGTTTATTGCTGGCTAGGTTGAACCCGTATTATCTTTAACTGTTATTCTGGCCTCATGCATCTCCTAGGCTCACGATCTCTTCCTGATGCCATAGAGGACAGCTTCCAAGTTAGCAGCCTGACTGACTACAGCTGCCTGGTAGGGGGTGCATTTTGGAACCCATACTTTGAGATGTAGTTTGAATACTATAAAATGAATTGCCTTTTTAAGACTACAATTCAGTGAATGTTTTAGTCTGTTGTGTTGCTCATCACTGAAATTATCTGAGAATAGAGTTTATTTAGCTCACAGTTTGGAGGTCCAAGGCCCCTAAGAGTCACATCTACTGAGGATCTTCCTGTTTTGGTGAATTCTTCAGAGTCTCAAAGTGGTATAAGACATCACAGGGCGAGAGCTTGAGCAGAACAAGAGCTTGAGTGTATGTGTCAATCGTGTGTCTCTGGTGTCATTTCTTCTCTTATAAACCGTGAGTATTCAGGTGGGCCTATCCTGATAACTTTATGTGATAGTAATTATTTTTCAAAGGCTCAACCTCTTAAATAATCAGATCAAGCTTCCACCCTCTTGCTTTGTTTTTTTATTTTCCCCCCAATGGAGAATCAGAGTGAGACAAAGAGACAGAAAGAAAGTAAGAAATCACCACTGAGGGTATGGCTATGCTGCTATCCCTTCTCCATTCTCCTGTCCAGATTTTGAGCTGGCACACATAGATGTTAAGCCTCTGGGTCCGGGACTCAAACCGTGGTCAGTAATGTAGGAGTTCAGTGATGGAATCATTATGCCAACTGCTGGTCCCATCCACCCTCTTAATATCTTCGCAATGGCTCACCAAATTTTAACACAAACATTTCAAGGTGACATCATTTAAACCATAACAATAAACTTCTGTATATGTGCAGTTACATAAGAATTGTCACAATCTAATTCAGCATATTCAAAGGACATTTCTTCCCCCACCAAAAAAAAAAACCTCAAATAAAATCAATAGATGAGCATCTGACTCCTCCTAATGTATTCAGATTAAACAATTCTATGTGAAAAAATAGCTCAGCACAATAGCATGCCAAATTCCCTTTGTTTTGTTAAAATTAGATCATAGTATTATTTGACTATTGCTTTCTGTAATTCCCATTTATTTTATAGTAACAACCATGTATTTTTTTTAAAACCAAATTCAAAAATACTTTCTCATTTTATTTTGCATTACTGGTTATGTGGGCTTGCCATAATTCTTATAAAATATACTAAAATGTTTTATTATTTTGGCCTTTTTGTGGTTGTCATTAGCAAGACAGAGAAGATGGTGCATATGCTCTATCTCTGTTGGTCTTGGATACAATTTATTCTTAAATTTTGACAAAATTTTATATGAAATATAAAATTACATTAAATAGTAGAGGTGAACATTCCATGTATCATGCTATACCCTTAAATTTTGCATATAGCAAATTTGTGAAATGTTTGCTTGTTTTGTGTTGCCACCAGATCTAGACCTTTACCTACTGCCAGTTCTGTATTTTGGCCTCAAATCAACATTAAAATTCATGAGAGAATAGGCTTCACCTAACACTAACCTCCCCTAGCTTCAAGGAAAGGCAATGCAGATGAAACCACACAGCATGCTAATATAGCAAGGATATTATAAGACCCTGGGACAGTGTCTGGTAACTTAGTTCTCTGCACTTAGGTGGTATGGACAGCTTCAATCAAGGAAAGCCATCAGCTTTGAGGATTCCAGGAGCTGTTGTAGTTAATCGTGTGTATTCTCAGGTTTACAGTCAGCTAGTTAGGGGTATGTAACTAACTCCCAATTCTCTGATTCGATTGCATTTCACCAATATTGGTTACTGATTTCTCAGTAGACAATCTCAACAATGAGATGAAAGTGTTTGATGTGGTACAGCAAAATTCCCATTTATCTTGTATTCAGTACAGATTGAATTCTAATAATTTCTTGACCTTACA